AATACGCTTGGGATCACTTTCACCTAAAAAAGATCTTCTATTCATGGGAAGTTTGTCTTTCATTCTGTCTTGGAGTATCATTCTGACAATGTCTTATATAAAAAAATGATTTTTCAGTCTTCCGATGAGTGACAGTCCACCTTTGTGATTTCTTGCAATATTGCCTCTGCCAACTGCAAACAACCATAAACAAAATGTGTAAATTAACACTAAAACCAAACTCACTGATTTTCACTGCCATTTTCCCACTAAAAATTGTTGTCAGTTCATTTTGAACAGTGTATATTTTGTTGTTGATTGCAAGTCTTGATCAACATTTTTGTGATGGGTATTTATGCAACTTGGGTAAATTACTACAATTAGCTCAGCTCGCTGAACCAATGAAAAAGCTGTTTACTTTTTCATTAGGCCACACTGATTTAATTTTATGGATGACATCCTCTGAAGACCCTAAAACTAATGTGAGAGGGCAAAAAAAAAAAAAAATCGGCCAAAAAAAAAATGCTGCTAAACCCACAAGATTACGGAGCTATTATTACGAATTTAACCACAGACTTCGGCCAAGGAGCTTCTGCTGCTTTCGTTGCAGTTTTGTCGACTTCAATGCGGACAAAGCAACCGAACTGATTTGTCGCTTGACCGACTTTTAGGCCACCATACACCTCCACTCCTCTCCCATTTCTCTCATCATTGCAGAAGAAACGTGGGACAGCCACTCTGGACAATATGTTCTCAAAGTTGTCTGGGCGAAACTCGCTTGCCGCTACCGATCTCTCGTATAGCTGTGTAAACGTCTCCCTTGCCAACGTCAATTGCGTACCAGTCTACAACAATCCCTCCGTTTCACCTCTGAACTTTTATGCTCACGTATTTTGGTGGTGTGGTCGCCATGTTGGATCATTTATGTCAAAATTTGCATGTTTTGAGGCAATCTCTTTCCCATAGGTCTTTGCGCTTTACGTAACGCGCATCTAACTGTGCGGATTTTGGTTTTGAGGTAGTCCAAACAGAGTTTTACGACAAGTCGGCGCTTTGCGACAATATGAGTCGGCAAGTTCCAGACAGAAAACCGATCTGTGGAGACTCGTCGTCGGATATTTTTTTTTTTTTTTGAGAACAGGCGAAGTCTGTTCTCGCGCGGATGTCATCCATAAAATTAAATCGGTGTAGCCTTAGTAACAATGAAAACAAACATACCCCAGAAAACTGAAACCTGCCAGACACTGCTCGCTCCAAAGTTACGAAATCATACTCAGTTGTGGTAAGTTTTGTACAACTGAAGCTTAGGGACTATACCTGCTACACTGCAACAACGAATCAAACTGGTGATAATAATTAAAAACATCACTGTCTTGATGGTGACTAAACCCTGCCATCTCTTGCCATGGTTAATTAGACACATGCACACAATGTGGAATCTTTGAATCAAAGCCTATCCAGAATAAAAACTGAACATGCACATTGCATCAACTTGTTCAGAATGAATTATTCATCTCCACTGTTTCAGACACGATTCGTACACAATTCCATTTTTCTGACTGATAATATTCTCTGGATTGTTTATCTCAATGCAATGAGTCTCTGTCATCTTAGAGGGTTGTGCATGACAAATATCTTGCTCATCACTGTCACAAACTTCTGAACTACTGTCATCTTCATTCCTATAACCTGAGATGCGTCTATACCATTCTGACTAGAAAAAATGTAACGCAACAAAATATTATCGGTAGGACCAGGAAAAATACATTATAATGACACATCAACCAAGATATGGGATTATAGTAACTACCACTTACTTCATTGACAAATCCATCAGAAATTTAGAGTAATCCAAGTCACTGTCCTCACTCTCCTCTGTGCTACTAGGATGATATGTCTCATCATGCCTATCATCTTGAAAGGTTAGCGACATACTGGATGGATTAAATAAAATACCAGTACTGTAAAATACTTTATTTTTACTGGGATTTTAGGCATTGTGTGTGGATCTAATTTTCACCGTGTTTTACCAAAACGTAATGTAAAGAAAGTAATTTGATTTAGCAGAAAATGCCTCCAGTCAAAATAGTGAAAATAAGTACAATCAATGAAAAACTCAACAGTTATAAAACACACCATTAACTGAAAATAAATTTAAAGGGCAGACTCTAAAAAACTAATAAATAATACTTTCAATATGGGAACTTACTCAGAAACATTATGGCAAAAATCTTCATCATAAGACAGGTTCTCAGGTGCTGTCTTTCTTGTACATATACTGGCGGAATCCCTACAAAAAAATCCAAGCTGTAACATCAAACTACATCAACAAATTATAATTTATTAACTCGTCAAATAACTCCAGTGAATGGACAATAACTTTAATACTTGCCCTTGAGGAAATTCTTTTAAATTCTCAATCGTTACTGAAATAAATAAATAAATGGTCAGTAAAATAAAACATGTATTGCATTGTACACGACATCATTAAACTCCTCGCCTTCCAAAATGACCACGAATGTGAAAAAAAATTAATTTATTAAATATTTACGAAAAACCTATAGCGCACGTTTATTTTCAATTGTACTCCTGCAATGCACGGAAAAATTGCATGGAAGCCCATCACATGTGTAACTCGGGAAACAAAACATATCCGGTAGTTTAGAATTGTTGTGAATCGTTCTATTCAAAAAACAAAACAGCTGGGTACAATCCTTTTGTAACAAACACTATTTCCTTGCCTGATGACATATTTACCTTTGACGTGAAATTGTTGACGCGTCTAGGTCGAACGCGAGACAATCTGCATGAGGACGAACCGGTGCGGTGTAGCAACATGAATCTAAGAAAAAAAATCAAGAAACAAATATAACATGTTGCCATCGTTTGAAAAAAAAATCGGCTACGAGTGAAAAAATCATAAATAAAACATTAAAAGTACAATAAAAACTTACCTTTCGTTCCGATCAAGTATATACTTAGCAACGTCGCGGTGATCGACGACATGACATCCACTTCCCTGGCTTGCGAGCTGAAGCCGTAACGACTCCCATCGATTAAATTGATTTCCAATTTGCACTCAACTTTGCCGGTTGTTTTTTAGTCTTGAGACTAAAAATGACTTAGGCTCTGAGCATCATTTTTCGCAAGAAAGAAAATGCGATTTCTCGCGAACGCCTCGTTTATTTTAATTGGTTGATGTAGCAAATTGACACATTATCAGAGGCCTTCAAATTAAAATAAGACAATACAACTTTAAGAACTATCCATCTTAATCGGGGTCCGTAATTTATTTTCCTGCTCATAATGGAGATTAGTTACCATAATTAAACATTAAAATTGCACCCCTGACTTAATCAGTACTGAAATATATAGCTGATTAGGAAAATGTGTCTCTCTGTTGACAGAGGTCCGATTTACCGATAAACTTCTTTTGTTGTGTCTAATCATCCACGCTCAATGGTCAACAATGTATCGGTCACGGGTGTAGTAATTTCTCCGGCACTTGGGTATCACTTTTACTCCAAAGGTAATTTAAATGTGATGATAGATTCATTGATATTGAATTACGGTACTTTCATCATTGCTTTCAAGCAGTCACGGTTGCCCAAACTTGACTTGTGTTTTCTCGATAATTCTAGTCTAGTACGTCTCATGAAACCAAGTTTCACACTTCCTTTCAATCTGCTAGCAAGTGCCAATGAACACCGGAAATAGCAATCGTGCATAACAGATTCACAATAAAATTATTAGATTTGATTAGTCGAGGTGGGATTTCTTTAGCGTTGCGGTCAACTCATCAGCGTTGTGGGCAAGCTCTCAGAGTAGCGACATATTTTTGACTTTGGCTAGGCTTAGTCTTTTCCATGAAACCCTAACCCTAACCTTAAATTTTGAACGACTTCAAACATTGCCAGGACACAGAAATAAATTTGTCGAGAATATTTAGTTTCCACCTCTTTTCCGCCTACTTTGCAGCTCGATTCATTTTTGCTGACATGACGTTGTAGCCATTTTGGAATAGGCCATTCCCGTGACCTTTGCTTGACCCCGGTGTATTTACATCCGGGTACTTTTGACGGTGTGGAGCGGCCATTTTGAATTTAGTCGCTGATTGAGATAAACATGCCTTACAATTGCTGTGTCCCGTTATGCTTCAATAATTCATCAAAGAATAAGAATTTACATTTCTACCGACTACCAAAGCAGGAAACATTGTTAAAGAAGTATACAGTGCTTATTAGAAACGACACACTGAAGGCGGAGTCCAAACAAACGCGAATTTGTAGCGCCCATTTTGACGGAGGAAAAAAGCAGTGGGGAAGCCATTTACCTACCATTTTCCCGTGGACGAAGTTGAAGCCTTCAAGAAAGCCTCCAAAAGAATGTAAACCATTGAAAAATGAGTTATCTGAGTCAAATGCAGCACTTGACCAAAGCAGTCGTAGTAATAATGTATTGGATAGAAAAGAGTCGGAAGAACTTGTGGAGCTACGAAACAAAGTAAGCAAAATGGCGGAACTGTTGGAAAAAAAACAAAAGCGAGGTAGACCATCTAGAGAATGAAAATAAGCAGCTAAAAGGCGAACTAGACATGCATAGACAAAATGAACATAAACAGCACACTGAAAATATGCAACTCAAGAATGTGTTCGACCAGCCAAGAAATGGAGCATTTGTTATTGAGAAGTTCAAAAATAATGACGATGACATAGCTTTCTATACTGGGTTTCCTGACTTGGAACGTTTTAAGATTTGTTTTGAATATTTCGGGGATTCAGTCAATCAGATCACCTCGCCCAGGGATAAATTGACACCCATGAATCAGTTCTTTCTAGTTATGTGTAGACTGCGACTTAGACTGTTTGTAAAAGACCTAGCTGAACGTTTTAATGTTTCAAAGACTACCGTGTCTAGAATATTCAACAAGTGGGTAAATTTATTGTATCACGACCTCAAAGAGATTGATATATGGCCATCCAGGGAACTGGTTGATATGAATATACCACAGTGTTTTAAGGATAAATATCCTGCTACTAGAGTAATAATAGATGCTACTGAGATGCAGTCCATCACATACATTTGTACTCCTGTTACAAAAGTCGTAACACAGTGACGGTTTTAATTGGAATTACACCCAGTGGAGCAGTCTCATTTGTATCTGATCTTTACACAGGTATGTTGTTTTAAAGGATGTGTTAAGATGAATTTAACAAGTCATTGTCAATAACACGTCCCCGTTCCGTTCATATTTGAGTGACATATACATTCAAAGCAGATCATGACCGAAATGCACCTGCATATGTACAACACATTGTACTAAATCTGAACAAAATCCATCCATGCATGACTGAGATCTGGTTCCGGAATTGTGAAAATACGTGATTTTAATGCATTTTCGGTCTTAAAATGGCCATCATTCAGCTATTGTTAAGCGGATCATGAAACAAATGCACATATCTATTTGTGACATGATGCACCTTGTGTGTGTGAAGTTTAAACTTGATCAATCCAGACATGTCTTGGATACGGATCCAGAACTGAATTCTTTAACAAAATGGCCGCCAGTCGGCCATTTCGAACTTGATCTGAAAAAAAAAAATGACGTGCATCAAGGTCCTATTATGTTTAATGTATTACCAAATTTGAATGAAATCCGTCCATGCATAACTGAGATCCGGGTCCGGAATGGTGAAAATGTGCGATTTTGATGCATTTTCGGCCTTAAAATGGCCGCTATTCGGCTATCGTTAATCGGATCATGAAAAAAATGCATGTGCATATGTCCCATATAATGTGTGATGTATGAGTGAAGTTTGAACATAATCGGTCCATGCATGTTCGAGATACAGGTGATCACGGACGCACGGACGGACGGACGCACACAGGGCAAAACAAGTCCCCGTTTTCGGACTCCGTCCGAACGGGGACTAATAATTATAAATCTGCTGGTGCAATAATGTTTTAATAACCGTATTGACTAATTTACAAAATGCACCCCACCACACACACACATAATAATTTTATTATAACAAATGGAAATAATTTATCTGAGTCAATCTCAGACAAGGAGATTACCAAACTGAGCAAACTGCCAGAAAAATTGGAGCGTGGACATGGTGTTATGCCCGACAAGGGATTTGATATACAAGACCAGTTGGCAGCTACTGGTGCAATTTTAAATATACCACCATTTGTAACTGCAGGTCAGTAGATGTCCATAGAACATGTTACTGAAACTCGCTGTATGTATAGAGAGAATAAAGAACTACCATATATTTGATAGACCCTTACCCATTTTATTATGTGGGATAGCAAATCAAATGTTCTATATTTGTGCCATTCTAACAAACTTTCTACCTCCTTTGATACCAGAGGTTAACAAAAAACAGATTGTATACAGTTGATGTTGTATTATTTATTAAGATAATACTGTATTTTTAAATAAAGGAATAAATTTATAAACAGTTGCACTTAAAACATGGTTTTTAAATTATTTAAATTTACATACAGTATGTGTGAGTATTGTTATAGCACCAATAATAAAAAAAAAAATAAGTTGTAAATGATGTGTAATTGTTAATAGTATGCACTCGAAAATTTAAAAAAAAAAAAACATTCAAAAATAAATATCAGTTTTGTTTTTTGCGGTAACAAAACTTCAATTTTTAGTACTTTTAAAATTCCCTCCAATTAGTTTACTATAAAAATACTTTATTTTCGCTTAGAATCAATTTTCACTGAAAGAATGATTCAGTGAAAATGCTTTTTTTCCTATATTTCACATAAAACTTCTCAAAAATTAGTGAAAATAAATTCCATACAAAACACTCAAAAAGTGTTTTCAGCAAAATTAATTCCAGCTAAAATAAAGTATTTTACAGTATCAGAATAGGGCTGGCTAGTTTAATCACTTCTCTGCTGATAGGTAAAAAGCTCTGGAAATAGAGGATAACCCTGTTTAATTCTGCAGCTCAACATTTCTAGAACAACAAAGTCTGTAGAAAATTTCAGAATCTTGGGGAAAACTGTATTATTCCAGAGGACTTCATCAAAAAAAATTAGTTCAATATGAATATCTGTACCAGTTGGGGTCTCTGTGTATACCATAAAGTCACACCATTTTGATTTAGTGACAGCCATCTAACATTGTACCTGGTAGAAATACTGGTGATTCTTGCTGAGGTACAGATAGCCTGCGGAGTGCTTTTTAAGATAGAATGCATTCCCACGTTCTTCACACAGCTTTGACAAAGCAGACATCGGGCACTTGATTTCCAAACACCCCACACTGGGT